ATACTATTTTATCTTGAGATCAGACTATGAGGCCTACAGGGAATGCGGTCATATTTCAGAAAGAGGCAGCACCACAGGAGCAAAGTTTTGATGGGAGTAGAAAAACAAAACAGGTGTATTAAGCATCCTGGAGGCTTAATGTACCTATTTTAGCTCTTTGTCTTCTAAAAAGGAAACAGACTCATACACACACCATTGAAAATCAATTATTTTCTTCTACATTTTGATGATGTAATCTAGGAGGTTGAAAAAAAATCAGGATTGGGTGGATATAGATTGCCCACCCTGCCATAATGCTTTATTAATTTTTTTCCAACATCCCCACCAATAATGTAGAATGTGCAAGTATGACAGATTATGAGGAGGGTGGGAAAGAGATGGAAGAGAAGATTGACATAAAAAAAATCAAGAAATGGGGGTGAGTCAGTTGATATCTTTTCATGAATAGCAACTCAACTCAGGTGGGGACAAATCTTGGAAGAAGCATTTCAAAGTATTCAAAGAGACAGCCTTAATTAAATAACTATGTGTGATACCAGGAAATTCTTATTATTATAGTTTTTAAGATTTGGTATTTATCTGGAGTAGTATTAAAGATATCTTACTGAAATCTGCATAATTCTTGCTTCCTTGATCTTGCTGTGCTACATAGAACTTGACAACAAGCTAAGCTATGTACGTGGGTACCAACAGGCAGGCTTGTCAGTATGGTCTTGCTCATGTTGATAAATGTCATGTGGTGTTCTTCTCAGCAGGATTAAGGAATTCTAGAAATTGGTCCATCTGAAAGGTAAGATGACCTTTCACCTCATATGTCAGTTACTGACTTGGTTTTTAGCATTAGGCTTAATCTCATGTAGCACAAAGACATATTTTTGTAGAGCAGTTATATAAAAAGAATACATGGGTTTGAATTTGGAATCTTCTTCATACAAAGCATGAATCTTTGGCTCTTCCCCATAAATCCTTCTGTTAAATGAATGAACTCTGATGTTTCAAAATTCAGCAGCATATTTAATTCTTCACTTACCTAGAGCTGTGGAATTTATCAAATTATTTTTTTCTGTAACATGCACTGCTTTCAAAACAACACTGCTATTGAATTAATTGTATTTTACTGATATGTGAAGACTGCAGAAGATACGACATTTTTGTTTCGGTATCTAGAAATCAAAAGGTTAAAATAAGGAAATTCATATTAAAATGTGCTTTTTTTGTGCCATTGGTTATAGCATAATCGTTGCACAAAAAGCATTTCATCTGAATCTGATGGTTTAAAAATCAGAAGACCAAGAATGCTTGAGTGTTAAATTTGAGTACAAAATGTAATGTAAATATCTACAAAAGCATTATTAGACATTCTATTCGGTTTTTAACAGCAACTGTTGTACTAACAATAAGTCCTTATTCAAACTCTCCAATTGATTTAGTGTAAATTTTAGAATTAGTGTACAGAAATGAGAATTCATATGATAATTTATTTTCAAAACAATATTATAGCCTAAGAAACTAGAAACTAAAGATGCTTAATTTATTTCCAGCTCCAGCAAAGTGTACAAAAGCAACTCTTGGCACACTGGAAATAAGTCCTACTGAAAACATGGCTTGAGCAAATACTGGCAACCTCTGCACATCATATAGGGACATCCAACCTATGGGGCTTGTCTTAATTTTAAACGCTTGGTGGGTTTTACAAAGTGACAGTCATGACAAGATTTACAAAATAGCATGCAATGGGAATGGGCCAATCACAAAATGTCTTTTTTAGAAAAGGCAGACAGGAGGGAATGAAAGTAACTTGCCAAGAACCTCATTACAAGAACATGTTGAGGTCTGTCTTCCAAGGACACTCAGCTTTTCGCTCCAGCAAAATACACTCATGTTGTAACAGACAAATTTCAAATTTCCTTTCCTTCTTTCTTTCTCTGTCCATGAGCCAACTCATCTCCACTTTATTTTCCTAAGGTGCATATTCATAAACCAGATTGTGGGGGAGGGAGTGCAGGAAGCAGAATGACATACAGATCAGCAGGGAAAGAGAAAAAACATACATGCATTGGGAGAGAGGGAAGTAAAAAAAACTAATCCCAGGTCCAGGTCCCATTTATTGACCTGCTGCTCCTCACGGCCATTGTTTCTTTCTCCATGGTGGAAACTTCACATCTTCCTTGATCTATCTACCCATTTTTTGGCCTTCCCTCTGTGTAGCCTACCGTTTCTACTTCAAAGCCATATAAGATCAGATAGAGCTGGGTTATCAGGGAGAGGCCAACTAATCTAGAATGTTACATAGCCGCTTTCAAATTGCAAATCAGAAATAGATTAGCCATCAGCGGCCCATTACAGGTATGAGAGTAGTTACATTTTTAAAAAAAAAATCCCTCAAGGATTTCAGTGGAAACAAAGTGGTACTATCTGCAAAAATAGAGTTCATCGCTGACAGGCAGCAACGAATGGGATCTGCTAGTACTGAGCATTTTCAGTTCAAAAATTGGTTCAGAAACAACCAAGCATATATTTGGAAAATTCTATACAAATTAGGTATGTTGAAGGTTGCTACATTTGTATTCTTTCCAACCGAATGGAGTGTTGGAAGGAAATTGTGTTAAAGGGCTTAAGGCACTGTTTATTCTGCCAGTTGGGTAACTCTTCAAAAATTGAACAAAATGGGATTAAATTTGGCATGGTTGGAGAACCCAAGGAAAGAAAGCTAAATTCAAAAATGGTCCAAATCTGGCCAGGGGCTGAAGAGTAAAATTCCTCCAATGCATACATATGGAGAGGGAGTTGGGCAGCAAACTGCAGTGCTGCTGACTCCTCCATCCTAAGCCGCCCCCCACCCCACTTCTCCTTGTCCTGGTCATAGGGCCTGGAGTGGAGTTATTGTTAAAAGGTCGGAAACAATTCCAGAGGTCCTGCATGTTGTGCTTTCTCTAACTTGTTCAGAGTTGTATATTAGAAACAATTGCATTTTTAAAAAAGAGAATATTGTATTTCAAGCTTGGTATACACAGAAAAATTGTAAATGGAAAAAATTCTGATTTTTAAGGATTTTTAAATGTTTTTAAAAAAACAGAGCAGAAAGATATAGACTGGTCCAAAAATCCCTGTCTGAGAGGCTTTAATAATCAACTCCTTAATGTAGCTGCATTTTTTTCATAGAATTGAATGGCTGTCTTCAGCTACAGTGTGATCCTGGGTAAAGATTTAATTGGTTCAAGGAATTCCCAGCAGGTACTAATAGACACCAGCTCATATACCAAGGCACCTTTTTCCCTTCAATCTGAAGCACCGCGCATCCCTTTTAATTAAGATAATCCAGTTTGTAAAAGAGGAAATAGTTGGTGAGCACTATTACTGAAGTACTGGAGGGCATTGATGCTCATGGGAACCATGTTGGTTTAGTATTGTCAGGTTCAGCCCAAAGAACTCCAAGAGACAATGCAAATACAGTTCTGTTGCATTT